AGGGGGGGAGGGAGGGAGGGAGGGAGGGTGAGGGTGAATTTGTAATGGAACAGAACTAAGACATTGAAACAGGTTTTGGTTGGACAAAAGGCACATATCTAGGAGATAAATTTAAATTTTGCCGATGACATCTGCCTATTAAACACCACGGTACATGAAATGTAATTTAAACTAACAAAAAAACCAAACGAACTAGCAAAGCTGTAGGAAAAGTTAGCTTTAAAATTAATATATTATTTATCTAAAACAAGTACTACGACTATCATCAGAAACTACGCCCATCACTCTTTATGGAGAACGCCTTGCAGAAATGAATCAATTCAAGTACCTTGGCAGCAAAACTGCAGACTGCCTTGACGGCGTTCACTAAAGACTTAAAAAGATACATGGACCGCTTTGGTGAAATGAAAAACTATAAGAAAGTTTAAAAAACTATAAGAAAGTCACTGAAGACGAAATTCAAAATATATAATAACAATATGTTGGCTGTATTGACGAGTGGTTCAGAGATGTGGAAAACAACAACAACAACAACAACAACAACAACAACAACAACAACAACAACAACAACAACAGCAACAACACCAAAACGATTGAAAGAAAACAAAAAGGTTCCAAACCAAATGTTCACAAAGAATTTTACCAATACAATGGTTGAACTATACCAAAAAATTAATATTGAAGTCTTGGAAAAAGCTGGAATTGAGGATATCAGCACAGCCATAAAAAGGAGAAGATAGAGATAACAAGGACAATATGTTCTAAGAATGCCGAAGACAAGATTTCCCTATCAGACATGGTATTGGAAACCAACTGGAAAAATAAGAACAAGGAAGACCAACTGGAAGCTACAGAGGCACAATATGGGATGAGGCGATCACCCAGGGCCTGGATTTGCCAAATTGGAGGACGTGGATAGGGGCCGGCAAGCGTGGCGTCGACTGCTTCCCACCTCATGTGCCTGACGGAATAGGGAGAGAGTAAGTAAGTAAACTTTTACCACTAAAAAGTGTCATTGTTGAGCTGTGACGTAGGCCACATGCGTGACCAAAATGTGTATGAGAAGCGGGAAATGCCAACTCGGGCTGTGACAAATTTCTAGCACAAAGACCGGGGTATTCAAAAAATGCTTTGAGCGGGGATGCATCCATGATGATCTGAATTTTACTAGCAGGTGGAAGTTTGTATTGGTGATGAACTGGCCATATTCTGCACATTTCTGTAACAGACGAAAACTAATGCTTAACAGTCAGAAGCTGGGACAGAGCAAAGGACGGCTTCTAGGTCACCCTAGATTTTATCCTTGACTTCATCTGGCTCGGTCTTTGTAGGTACATATGCACTCACAAATAATGTTGCATACTGGGTTTAACATGGGGGAGTCTCAAAACCATTAGTCTGTCATTTATACCTCTTGAAAGGGATTCCAGTAAGGCAGCTATGTGATTTTTCATAGCAAAGCCAACACCATGTGTTCTACTCTCTGAAAAATATGTTCCCTTCCAAATGAAAGTATATCCTGAAGTGTACCAATATTCCAGCAACCAATTTTAGTAATTTTATATTTGACTATTCCAACCATATTGCGGCATCCCTATTGATAGCTGTGAACCAGTCCAAGAGGATGAGATGAGCTTTCTTTAGGGCACCTTTTATAGCCTCTTCTTTATGTGGGGGTGAGCAATGCAAAAGTAACAAAAAGGCTGCTCAGATACCATGGGAGGTGCTGAGTTTTACCTTCAGCTCAGTTCGGTACTGAAACAACCAAAGCCCATGGTCACCGTACGTGCAAGTTTGTACTTACAGCTGCCAGCCTATGAAAGCCTGCTGCCACCGCCCTCACCCATCGCCCAAGTTATTTGATTGGGATGCACGACAAAGAAAGGGAAAGGATAGATCTAAGCAGATATTTGACATATGCAAAGGTTTGAGTAAAGTGAGGAGGAGCGGTGCAAACATCAGACGACGTCTAATGGCAAGTTAAAGACAAGACGATCAGATTAGTATCAATGTGCAAAATTGTCAGAATGCCATCCATATTGAAAGACAGGATCCCTAGAGGTACCACCAGAGCCTTTTAGTCTCAGTTAACTAAGAACACCATGCTGGGTGGTTGCCTCACGCCGTAGCAGCATCCAGGCCAGTATGACGGTGTATTGCCATCCACCATCGCGGCTTATCAATATCAATGGCTGGGGCCGGCGCGAATGATTGGATCTCCATCTGTTACGTTTGGCATACATCATATTGCTCACCGCCACCGTGAAGAACAGAGGGAGCTACCAAAGTGATTCACCGGCATACTAAAAAATCTTACCCCATAAGGACATGTCTCTGTCTATCGTGTGTTTGTAGCACACGTTTAGTAGCAAATATGTTTTAAAAAATCGGTCAGTAGGTGCAATATTTTGTAAGAGTGTACGTCACATGATTAAACAACAACAAACACACACAAAAAAGTATTAAAACTGATCAAAGTGTCACTTTGAGCTCACCGCTTTTTTCCCCCCTTTTTTTTTGGGGGGGGGGGGTCATCATGTAGTTCAACAGAAGGAGGCCCTGGTGCATGCTTTACTGTTTTACAATAACACCTCAAGGACTTTCTGGAAGAGGGCAAATTTTCATCAATGTACTTGAGATAAAAATTTCTAAACTAGCACATACAATGGCCACAAGTCGTGCTTTCGCCAAAATGCAGTAAAAATTTTCTGTAAAAAATGGGATGTTTTGGAGGGTAAATGGTTATGAAATGTGTCAAAACATTTAGTAGGCGTCTAGAACATTT